ATTCTTTTATATAAAACTAAGCAAAGATGTTATGATGTTGGCTGTGAATACATTTCTCCCACTATGCTTGTGACAGGTCATCTTCATGCTGCTATGGATGTCATCTTGGGTCATGGGGACCGCACAATCATCATGCACACCCTTGCCATTTTTGAAGAAGAAGATCTGGTAATCGTCACCAATGACATGGACAACTCAAGCACCAGTGAACACGTGTCTAATGATAGAGATATCAGCTTGATTGGTCCTCTGGTACTAGTTCCTCTGAGTCCGTTGATCGTTTAATTTACCATTTACAAATTTATGGACAGATGGATGCTTGCGTCACATATCAGAACCAGATCTCAGCAGCAAAAGATCAGTGCAAAGAACTCCAAGCCGTAATATCCAAGATTGCTGCCATTACAATTGTTGAGGATATGACCCGGTGCGAGGGCTGCACTGGGGTCTTTCAGTATCCATATATGTGAGCATCTTATGATTGTGGCCCATCTGACCTCATGATGTGTTCCAGTTTGAAAGACCATGGTCATTCACTATGTCCCCATTGTTTTCAACTTACCCTGCACATGACTATCAACAACAATCGCTCACTGTATCCTGATTTGTGAAGTACTGACTGTCGATGGGTTTTGATGTAAATAAATGTCACTAGATGTCACAAAATCTATCCAGTTGCGCCGACGCTGCCTCATTACAATGATACATTTAGATATTTACGATTGAAATGAAAGTTCAACGTTCAATGTTTCAATGATGTACCGCGGATTGTTGGCATGTTCTGGTATGGCTTGGGGGCAAGAAATTGTCATCAGTCACTCTCTTTGGCCCTTTATACGTAACACCAGCTGGGTAAATAAATCCTCTCACTGCAAATGAAACTCGTCCGCCCTGAGGTGACGAACACACGTACTCTCTCTGTAATTTATGGCTTCAGCAACAGGTAGTGGCCCTGTGTTCAGGACTTGTGAACATGAGACCAGTACCTGGAGGCAATAAAACAAAAATGTATGATTGACCTTAGAAGTGGATGCCGATGGCATTCTGTGCTGAAAATATATGAATACAATGCTTAGGAACCAGTAAGTAAGATGCACATGCACATGTCAAGACACTTACCTCAGGTCCACACGCTGGACGAAACCTAAGCCACAGGCGAACCATTTGCGCAGCGTCTGGTGTGGATTCACGGGGGAGATATATACTGATATATATCAAGTCCTGCAAGGACGCCGGATGCAATAACACAACGTAACATATCTCACGGCGTGCAAGAGAAGGTATTTTGAAGAGTTCGACGAAATGTATGATACTAAAGTCCCTAAGAGCCCGAGTGGAGCCAGGCCACACCACGATACAATGAACATAGGTGACATAGTTTTTGACTGGGAGATGAGTATGCAAGATAATGAAAACAAGGGAATGCACATTATGAGCGACAGCTTTCAGCTTATGTAGAGGAAGAATGATAGGAATGTGAGTAAATGCTTTTTAAAGTGAATACATTTAATTTGTTATTGCGTTTCGAATATTAGTATATGCAGGGGAAGCCTAATGGTGTCTGGTTGGCCCTCAGTTGTACATGTGTTGACCGCCCCTTCCTCCCTCCATTTGACGGTTCTCGGCCTTACACTGACATCTACACCCTCGGGAAAGCCTGTCCACAACTGGATTGAGGACCCGCATGAAGTGCAAATCGAGGACGTGCGCAGGAAGGAGGAGCTTGGCAATGCCGGATTTTAGTATGGGAGAGAAGTGCCAAAGTATACCAGCTTCTTAAATGATGATGAGATTGAGCGTGAATACTACCCTGAGAGCATCGAGCTCATGAAGAGGGTCACAGTGGCCCAGAGAAATGCCAGCCGGTCCCCCGGGTTGCTTTGTATCAGTACTCTTGACGGCTGCTTTGTGACGGTGTTTCGTAGTAGGGATGCCAATTCACATGAGACGAACACCAATCCACATATGGTAACGATGCCAATCCACATGAGAATGGACGCTAATCCACATGAGAAGGACGCCAATCCACGTATAGTAGGGATGCCAATCCATCTGCCTCTCAAAGTCAAGCCATTATCACACAGAGTTCTACCAGTAATTAAGACTCCTACCTACAGAAGTTCCTTCCCTCCTCCACAAACGCTTCCAAATAATAAACCTGTGGCGCCCTATTTCGCATGCAGCTGTAGATCGACCGCTTGCATTATGTGACTTCCGGAGTGTGGATTTCGACAAAGCTGTCGCTCTTATATACCCTGACTGCGAGGGTGAGACATTTGGGGCCAAATACAACCCAAACCACCAGTGTGGAAGTACTTGAAGGCGATGACCCCAGAAGAGTTTGTTCAGATGGTGAGCAAAGTCACTCTGGGGAGATGTATGCCGTGCCAGAGCGCTGCCTTGGGAATCCATCGAGCTGAGGGCTCTGGTATTCTATGATTAGTAGCATTAAGAATTAACATAGAGGTCGTACCGTGTTTTGTTGTACTCTTAAAAATTTTGCATTATAAGGTTTTAATAAGGTTTAGGACATTTTCGATGATCCTGCACGGTTGGGATGAGGATTGGAGTGATATTGGTTAGATCTAGCATAGAAAATTGGTTAGCAGGTGGTGAGCATAGTGGTGAGGCGTCGTAGGGTGCCTGGTAGGTGTTGAATTGTGGGGTCCTATTCGGGGTGCCAGTTGGTACTAAGCCAAGAAGCGATCTGTGTAATTGGCTAGGTTGCGTCAAGTACTGACACGGCCTTGGTGTCTCAATTAAAGATGCAAATCAGAAATGCAAATCAAGTACAAAAATCAATCTGGGTCCATCAGTGTTTTCGGTCTTTACATATCACTGTTCCACAGTGACCGTCCACTTGAACTAGCAGAGAGATTGGCTTTGTCTTTACATTCAGTAATGTAAATGACTGACTATTCACTCCCACAATCACTGATCAGACTTGATGATTATCATCAGCGTCTTCCTCATCACTACTGTCTCCCTCCTCGGATGGCTCGAGAACATTCAGTGATGGCCTTGGCAGCGGTGCTTCCAGTTTCCAAATTTTTGGCTTGTTCCATGCTGGCCATCGGGTCTCCCTCTTTCCAACTTTGCTTGATCTCTTTCCGCCTCCCACAGCTTTCTGTATGCTGTGCTGCACACTTCATTTCTCACCAGCCACGCAGCTTCCACTTCTTTCCACGATTTTAATAATCTTGTCCTTCCTTCTCAATTTGGCAAGCTTCACGCTGGAAACCGTTGTTGATGTTCTTCTTAAGACCGCTGGTGAGGTCCGGTGTATCTCAGCCTGATGATGTCCTGATGATAGTGAAACTTAACCCATTCCCCTCCAAAGCTTATCATCAGATCATTCGTGCGGAATGCTCAGATAAGGTTTTTGTCTTACCATCAGGCTAGCAAGAATAGCTTAAGAGTTATTGATGGGCATATGGGTGCGTTTGTCACATATCTCTATGACTTTGATAGATTGCATGGGAAATATTGTGGATTGCGATCATTGCAGACTCAGAGGAAATGGGCTGCCGGGTCCACCAGTGTCACGGAAATCATGTGCATTTGGTGTTGTTGGTGCAGTATAGACATGCTGTTTCGAAGGCTATGACAATGGTAGCAGTTGCCGAGAATTTTCACGCTACTTACCATTGGAAACGCGACCCTATGCGACTGCATTTTGGGGCATTGACAACAGGCCTATAACCCGTCAGTCGCCCAAAACTTTGAACTGCACCTGGATGAAACACTTACATGATATGTCTTATCCCGTTGTAGTCCCTTTTGGCAAAGCTCAACAGCCTGAGTGCCGTCTCTGAATTTGTTTTTCAATCGCGGACACGTGCTCTCTGGTGGACTTCTCCACAGCAGAGTTCACGACGATGCCTACAACACAGAAGATGCGAAGAAGCTGGCTTAAACCTCCGAGTGTTGAACTGGCATAATGGCGAAAGGTCATGGCCATGCATATTGTCTAGTATGTTATCAGATCTGTTTCAGATCCAAAATGTGACTGAGTTATGATAAGATATATGGCGATATGCTCATATTCGGCAGATATTGCCATGAAGCAACATCACTAGCATAGATTTGGCTCAACTACGTTCATTGATTGCTAGAAAATGGGACTCCGAGTCCAGAAAGAGAATTCTAATGTTGACGATGCACAAGGGGATTGGACGACTTTTGATAGGAAGCTTGAACACCGGCGTGTTGAAGGATAAGGTTCGGTGAGCCATTGAAAATGTTCGCCGCACCGGACCCGGGACCGTGAATCACAATTATTGAGCTAGACCAGTATACCTGGATCAACTCAGGGCAGTGATGGGGACACATGCATTCATTAAATGTGGACAAATATATAGAGTTCAGAAGGCGCCATTCTATGTATGTACTGAGAAATATGAGAGGTGAAAGTCATCTGACTTCACGCATAAACATAACTATGCAGTAAAAACCTCGTCAGTCTAAGCTCATTGGACATACCCACTTAACTTCTGCAAATAGTGGCACCGTTTCTTGCAATTGTTGGACTAGTATAGTGCCTTAATATTTAATCCTTGGGGAGGCTCGGTAATGCACCCAAATTTTGCTATGTCACAAACAAGGAAACAGTAACAGATGATAACGCTGAGAAAGCTGACCTTTCAGTCGTGAGTGTCTTTGTCCTATTGCACCATCCTTATCATTTTTACCCTGATACTGTAGTCAAAGGTCATTATAGATGAATGAATGAGCTATACAAACAACTGACATGCCATGGCGCAATCACCGAGACACGTTGTCACATTGGCTTTGTCAATTTTCAATGCCAGCTGGAATAGTAAAGCTAATGCCACCTTTGTCTTTGTTTGAGACAATCGCAATTCACAGCTCATCAAATATCATTTGTGCAATTGACGCAATATAAATACACTTCAAGTTGAAGTTAGTTGGTCAGTCGAGTCCCTTTTCCTCGGGTTCCGATTTCAGTTGGCATTTGAATCCCCATGTTCGAGTCACTCAGTCATCAGCCTCAGTCTGCAGATGAATGTGTGATAGGCGAAGTGTTCTGCTGTGCTCCTGTTTACGACAACATCTTCTCTCATACCTCACCTCGGGAGCTTGCGCGCCTTGGGCGCAGCTGTCATGCTGCATATGCTGCATCCAAAGATTATTCCAGGTGCACTTTCAACATTAACCGACATCTTTTTGGTTTCATCAGCGAACCCCTCCTCTTTCGCAGTCTACAGGCACGTACTGGTACACTTATTGCAGGCTCAAACGCACTGCAGTTTTTGGATAGGACATTCTATGATGAAACTGACATGGACATGTATGTCCATCCAGGACATGCAAGAGAAGTCATGGACTATGTTGTTGAAAGGGAAGGCTACGAATTCAAGCCACATTCCAGACAACCTCAGGATTACCGGAATATTGTCTCTGATAAATGGGACAACACTCGAATACGCCAGGACTATCAAATCAAAGGAGTCAGATCCGTATTATCACTTGAGAAACATGGCTCCAATGGCTATCAGAAGATTCAGGTTATAGAATGCGCCATGAGCCCATTTGACACCTTCATCAATTTCCACTCCAGTGAGTCCATGGCTAGTCTCCATTAGATTGTTATTTTCTGAGTGTCTGCAGCATGTGTCATGAACTTCATAGCCTTTGATGCAGCTTATTCCTTGTATCCGATTGCTACCTTTGAAGACTGGTGTACTCTTCAAGTTTGGCAGGAAAGACCGCTGCACGATATTAGTGTCGCAATAAAGTATGGACAATGGGGCTTCCAATGGCTTTCCGCCCTACCTCTCAGCACATCCTCGTTCTACCTGGTATGTAAGCACAAACATTGTTCCAATTTCATGCATGCACCTCACCTAATTTACAAAGACCGTCACCTTTATTTAACAACCAGTTGACCAGTTTGTCATACTCAAGAGTGAGTTGTCAGTCTGAGGAGCCGATTTTTATGCTTACCTGACTGGGCACTTGACTCGCCACAAAGCTTTCCTTTCCTCTTCCCATTCGCCACTGGGCACAACTATCTTCAATTGACTTCCTTTGGATGTACTCCCCTTATTCGGAAGTGGCAAAGCCAGCAAGGCCACAGCCAGGATAGCTCAGAGACGAGGGAGTCAGTTTTTTTGGATGGCTGCAGCGCCATGACTACAAATACCAGTCTTTCAGCGCGTGGTTTTGGGTGGGCGAGGAGTCGATGGTTGCTGGTGCCATTGAGTTGTCCCATGAAACAGCACAATTCGCTGTTCAAGAATCCTCGGGAGTCGGTTCTTCCTCAAATAGGTTGTGACAACTTTTCTGGGGAGGTCTTGTCGATGATGCAACGTCCATGCGATGATAGCTGTGTCTCTGTCGTGGTAGTTGCACTACTGACAAACTCAGAACTGCGAATGCAAATAATGGGGCTGCAAGTTCGGACTCAGTATGATAGAATCTCCGTGTTGAAGGCTGCGCCGGAAACACGATGCAAAGTGGAACGTAGTTACTAGTTGCAGGAGGGCTCAAAAGAGCTATCACAAATTTCGCACCTTCTGACCTCATTTCTTCCCTAATATCCCAGATGATTCGTGAAGATCATTGGGACTAGTGGTAGTGGTTGGGTAAGTTTGAACTGTTTCGAGCCCTGACCGAAATTTGGTTCAAAGTCCGGGCAACAGGAAATGAGTAAGAACACGTTGGTGGATTTGACTCAGCCTATGTCAAAGCAAACATGTTCTGATGTGTCATCTTAACCCCGTTTGCAGCCACTGGACCGTGGTGTGGCACGCTGTGAGTCTGTAAAAAGTGGCTCTCGGCAAACATGCTCACTCCTCACCTAGCATCTGCACCAGCTACATAGACTTCAAAGGTTGGTCACACGGTAAAGACATGCCTCTCCAATATTTCGAAAAATGGGTGCATAACCATCACACGGACTCTGTTGACTGTATTGGTTTTAGCGAGGATGGAGCTTTCTTAGCTAGCAGCAGTATGGATGGCACAATCATTATTTGCAATGCTGCCTCTGGGACTGCGCTCCACATAATACATTGCCGCAGTGGGGTCCTTGCACTCAAATGGGCACCTGTACGTCTTCACAAGGTGTGGTGTGGACTAGGAGACGGTAGACTCCTTTGTCTCATCATTGGCGAGGTAATCAGATTTCATGATTTATCTCCATTCAAATGCACTCACAATTGATCATAGGCAAAGATCCAAACACTGTGTTTTCGTGCTCACAACTGCCCCATTGAACATCTTGCATTTGACTGTTCAGGTCTGAAGCTAGCTACTGGCGCACAACAAGAGTTGAAAGTATGGAAATATATAGCTCAAGGTGTGCCCTATATTGTCCTGTTAATTTTCTGGCACTTATTTATTTCAAAGATCATCTTCAGCATATTAATGATTTATCCCCTCCAGGAACTGTGAGTTTGACTGCACAGGAGCCGACTTTTGTGACTTCGCTGCATTGGCTCCATTCCAGTGATGATGCAGGTTGTTTGCTGGCGACCTACTTATACCAGGGAATCATGTGGGTTAAAAAATTGACATTCTTAACATCCACTAAATAGTTGCCAGCTGTCGTGAACCTGAATCCGGTGAAACATGCTGGGCCATTCCCCTTCGGTCACTAATGTACGTTTACTATCAAATTATGAGGAAAGAGCTCATTTAAATATCTAGAGGACATGCTGACCTGTCTCCTGATGAAACTCAGATCGCCATCTTCAACCAGCATAATGGTATTGATGTATACAAGATCCCTGGCACTATATGGTTGACATCATATCACTTCACAATTCGAGACAATGTCATCCTATCTGTTTACTGGATCGATGAAGGTCTTAGACTGATGGCGGGCAGCGACAGTGGAACAGTCTGTGTATGGAATGTGAAAAATGACTCACGGCTTCCATTTCTATTGCATGGTAAGTTGCACGCAAGCTGTTTCAGTTCTAACCCAAAACTTTATTTTACTAGGCAATTGCATTGTACACGCCTTAGCAGTGAGCCAGAGTTGTGTACTATTTCGGACTCAACTGATGCACCCCTTTTCAGGCACATTATGATCTTACAACGCACACTTGTAGAATTGCTACAGGTACTGCTGAAACTGGCCCAAGGACATCAATACACCTTTTTGAGACCAAGGAGCTAAGAGAGGCTGGCACATCACGAAACCTGCAGGCAGCCCACAAATTGGTGAGTGGCATGGCTGCGTCTGATTGTGATGCTCTATCTGATTGAACAAGTCAATACCATGCATAATATGTGCGCTTGTGCTTCTTCTGGCAATGATAACAGTCTTCTTCCAGCATTATCAGATGTCAAGCTTGACGTCTTGGATTATGGAATGGGAAGCACAGTGGTAATTCCTGACGACTGCCTCTTGTAGTTCTAGATGTCAGTAACCTAGACCGTGACCAGACAGTGAATCAGTTTACAAAAAATCTCAGGCATGCCTGCCTACCGCTCGCCCTGTACATGCACTAAAATCCCACTACTGGAGCTTTCCTTCAAGATTTCACTTTATGACAACTAAAATCGTGTTTCTAGCTCTGAAATGCTCGCATGACACAAACGTGACACTGATGATCTGAATTTCTGATGTGATTTACCATAACAGACCAAGTACCCTGCATGCTGTTCTCGCAGCTATGCCCTTCGTTGTTTCAAAGCCCACGATGCACCCACACGACCATGGGCGAGGATGACATTGGGAAACTTAGGCCCACCCAGCAGCCCTGTCCGCTGTTCATGAAGTCCAGCACCATCATGTACGTATATAGGTGAACTCTTGTTAATGTTGAACATCAGTTGTTCTTCTCTCCTGCGCGAGCCCCTTCAGTGACAAATTCTGTATTATACGGGCCACCCGACCTACATAATATCCTGTATCAGACGGGCCAGCGGACCATGGGCCCATGTTGTGTATATCCTCGATGACGACGGATGGGCCGGGTAACATATTATTTCCGATGGAGACGGGTGGGCCCATGTATGCCAATGATATATATATCCTTGATGTTGATGGATGGGCCGGGGGAATATGATCATTCATGGAGATGGGTGGGCCCATCTGGGTAATATGTAGAGTAGGATATTATAGACAGCTGGGCTGAAGAGAGATGTAAGGCAAATATTGTTATATAGATGGGTGGGCCAACAGGGGTGTATTATATATACAGGTGGGCCAGGGTAGGGGAATATTACATAAACAGGTGGGCTGACGTGGGGCATATTACATATACGGGTGGGCCAACGTGGGGAGTATTACATATACGGGTGGGCCGAGGGTGCAATAAAATATTTATTACATAGACAGGTGGGCTGAGGTGGTGGAATATCACATATACGGGTGGGCCAAGGGTGTGATAAAATATTTATTACATAGACAGGTGGGCCGAGGTGGGGTATAATTATATAGACGGGTGGGCCAACATAGGATGTATTACATAGACGGGTGGGCCGACGTGGGGGATATTACATAGATGGGTGGGCTGACGTGGGGGAATTGTACATAGATGGGTACATATATGGGTGAGCCTAGATACGTTTCATCAAGACATACAGCTGATGTAGCCACCAGCAAATCAAACACGTAGGATACATGCACACTATGAGTGCATATACCTACCATCAACCACCGAAATCTAAACCCGTAAGCATGAAAACATGAATCGACCATGTGTGGCATTGACCAATAATTGAGTACTGAAGTGGAAAAACCCCACACCTGAACCCTGGTGTGCAATATATCCTATTTCTACACAGACACCAGAAGCACAACACTCGCAAAAATATAAATGTCAAATTTTCACAGTGCCGAACCCCGAACCCTGAGATTTTACCAACTCCCGAACCCCAAAATTGTGGACTGCCGGGTCTCGGGGGTCGGGGGTCGGCACTCAGGACTTGGGAAATTTGGGGAGATCAATAAAATTTGATCTACAATAAATTTGATTTACAAACAAATTGATTTACAAACTTTTGAAAGATATCTGTGTCATCTCACATATCGAGTCCCGAGTTCTGGGACCCCCGAGACCCAAGACCCGGCAGTCCACAATTTCGGGGTTCGGGGGTTGGTAAAATGTTTATGGATATACGAAAAGTTGATTCAAACATGTTTGAAAGATGTCTTTCATCTCAAAAATCGAGTCCTGTGTTCCGGGTAAGACATCTTTCAAACATGTTTGAATCAACCTTTTGTATATCCATAGACATTTTACCAACCCCCGAACCCCGAAATTGTGGACTGCCGGGTCTCGGGTTTTGGGGTTCGGGGGTCCCGGAACTCAGGACTCAATATGTGAGACGACACAGATCTTTCAAAAGTTTGTAAATCAATTTGTTTGTAAATCAAATTTATTGTAGATCAAATTTTATTGATCTCCCCAAATTTCCCAAGTCCCGAGTGCCGACCCCTGACCCCCAAGACCCGGCAGTCCACAATTTCGGGGTTCAGGGGTTGGTAAAATGTCTATGGATATACAAAACTCGGGACTTGACATTTGATATGAGACATCTTTCAAAAATGTTTAAATCAACCTTTCATATATCCATACACATTTTACCAACCCCCAAACCCTGAAATTGTGGACTGCCGGGTTTCGGGGTTCAGGGGTCTCGGAACTTGGAACTCGGTATGTAAGACAACAAAAATATCTTTCGGGGTTCGGGGGTTAGTGAAATGTATATAGATATATGTAGGTTAATTCAAACATGTCTGAAAAATTTCGTTCATCTCAAATGTCAAATCCTGAGTTCCAGGTTTCAGGACTCAGCACCCGGCACTCGGGGTTCGGCACTGAAAATTTGACATTCGGGTGTTCGGGTTTCGGGTGATATCTAAATCACAACAGCTTCGAGTTCTGCCAAAGCGTGAAACTTGAAACCCAGTGTGCAACATGTTGATTTTTCATTTATATCACACAAATCATCGAGTTCCGAGTGCCCAGTGCCAGACCCAAGCCCGAGACCCGAAAATATGTACACAACATGTCCATTTTTCACTCACTGCACAAATCACCGAGTTTCGAGTGCCAAAGCGTGAAACTTGAAACCCAGTGTGCAACATGTTCCATTTTTTATGTACATTACACAATTCATTGAGTTCCGAGTGCCGAGGGCCAAGACCCGAAGCCCGAGACCCGAAAATATGTATGCAACATTTCCATTTTTCACTTGTTGCACAAATCACCTGAGTTTCAAGTGCCGAAACCCGAAACTCGAAACCTGGTGTGCAACATGTTCATTGTTCATTTACATTACACAGATCATTGAGTGCCAAGGGCCGAATATTGAAACCCGAAGCCCGAAAACATGTATGCCACATGCCCATCTACTCATTGCACAAATCACCAAGTGTCGAGTGCCGAAACCCGAAACGCGGTACTTCAAATGGACATGAATTCTGTCTTTGTATGTATTATCCATTGGTGTAGGGTTGAAATAACTTGGGAATTGTATTTGTCAGTGCTCGGTAGTTGGTAGTTGGTGGTTGGTGGTTGGTGGTTGGTAGTCAATATAGGCAAATGATAATGAAAAATGAAAGTTGTTATTACGCTTGACTTCCTTACCGAAGGTTGTAGTCCGAGTCTAGGGGAGTGTATTGGTAGTCTTTTCTTGTCCATCAGTTATCATTTAACCGAGATATAAGCTAAAGAAATCTGAAACATCGGCGATAATGAAAAATGAAAGTTATTATTATGTTTAAGTTCCTGAACAAAAGTTGTAGGCCGAGCCAAGGTGAGTGTATTGGTAGTTTTTTCTTGTCAATTGGTTATCTCGTTACTCGGTACTCGGTACAAGGGAATCAGTACTCGGTATTTGGTTCTGATACTCGATACCCGAGAATCAGTAGTCGGGTACTCGGTACTCGGTTCTGATACTTGGTACCCGAGAATCAGTAGTCAGGTACTCGGTACTTGGTTCTAATTCTCGGTACCTGGGAATCAATAGTTGGGTACTCCAGCCAATAGTCCCGAGTCCCGAGTACTGATACTTGGTATTCGGTAGTCAGGTTTGGAACTTGGGTCTTGGTTTGGTTATCATTTGACTGAGATATTGGTAGGCAATATTGGCACTCGGAGCTCGAATACTGACTATCAACTATCAAGTGTCGGGACTTGGTAATCGGTAGTTGAGACTTGGTGCTTAAATGGATATTGCATATATACATAAAAATACAAAATATGTTCCTATGTGTTCATTTCTAGGTGAATAGACTTTGAAATTATATCTCAATCATCTATTCAACAATAGAAACAATGTATCAGGAGCTCAGGACCATAGGGTAATCCTTTATTGTATAGTGTACCTCCCCCTCTTCTGGTGGTTCACCTGCTGGGGTTTTTTCCCTGTAGGACTGGACCTCAAGGACTGTAGGGAGTCTATTCCTGAGCATATTCGGAGTAGATATATCATATAACCAGCCCAGGACACACAGGATCCTTCTCCAGGAACAAAGCATAGACAATTGCACTTTTGACATTTTTTCATGATTTTCAGTATCTTGCCCTTGCATCCATGATCCAACCTTTTGATATGTAATGAGCATAGCTTATATTCTTGCTTCTTATGACCAAGATCAGCTCACAATAGGCTGGAGTTTGTGAGCTAGTGTGTATACTTGCCATTTTGCCTGATAAGGGGCCCATGCCTTCAAAACATTGAATCTTCGTAATCAGAAACCTGGGGTACATTTCAAATATCTTAAGTATCATAGACATAAATTTACAGACAAATCAACCAAGAATTGAGTACTGAGGAAGTGAAATGGGTAAGAAATTGAGTGTG